ACACACACACACACACACACACAATCCCCCTCTCTCTCCTCTCTCTGTCTCTCTCACGGGTACCTCGTCGGCGTACATACTGTCTTTAACCCGTTCAGTGGCCCTACACGCGTACTAAGCGATCAATAGCACTTAAAATATCCATAAAGTATTTACGCTCTCGCAGAAGAAGGGCTGGTATAATGTTGTAGCGCTGCGGAGGATGGGCTGCGGCGGCGGCGGCAGCGGCGGGGTGGGGTGCTGCGACGCATGCGCGTACTGCGCGCAGCAGCCTCACGGGCGCGTGCATGTGTTTTGATTTCACAGACGCTCGGGGTCTGCACGCTGCAAGCACGGGAGCGAACAGGAGCGAACAGATATACACACATACACACACGCACAGACAAGAGACTTCGCGCGCACGCACGCGATGTACGTTCGCCTGTGCTGACCCGTGCGACATCGGGGTTGCAGCCCGCCAGCGAACTAGCGAGTTAGAGTGAGAATTCTCCGCCTAGCAACATGGCGACCGGCGGCGCGCGGCGGATGGCTGCCATCGCCATCGTCTTCGCCGTCGTCTTCTGCACGCTCGTCGGCGCACTTCCCGTCGGCAACGGCGCCGAGACGACGACGACGGACGACGCGCCGACGAGAGGTTACGTGTTCACGGCGCCGCGCGTGCTGACGGCTGGCACGGACGAGCGCGTCTGCTTGTCGCTACACGCCGTCAGCGGCGCCAACATGCGCGTGCACGTCTACCTGAAGGACGGTGAAGGTCGCATCCTAGCCAAGAGCGTCGACGTGTACCGGCGCGGCGAGAGCCGCTGCATGACGCTGCGCGTGCCGGACGTTGCCGACCCGCTGCTGTACGTCGGCAAGCTGCAGGTGCGCGGCTACGCCGTCACGCGCTTCCTCGAGTTCTTCTATCGCTTCAAGGCGTCGGCGAACGTGCGCATACGGCGTCGCGCGCCTGTCGTCTTCGTGCAGACGGACAAGCCCGTGTATAAGCCCGGCGAGACGGTCGGAATTCGCGTGATGTGCGTCGGCGCCGACATGAAACCCATTGTCGGCAGCGTGTCGCGCGTCTGGGTGCAGGACGCCGCCGACAACCGCGTCGCGCAGTGGTCGAACTTCAGCGACGTCAGCGGCGACGTCGGCGGCGACGGTCTGCTCATCGACGTGAGCCTGCCGCTCTCCGAAGAGCCGACGCTCGGCGAGTGGACGGTGAACGCCGACGTCGTCGGCCACCGCTGGCCGGTGCGACGCAGCGTCACCATCGCCGAGTACGCGCTACCGGACTTCCGGCTGACGATTGAGGCGCCGGAGTTCCTGCTGCTTGGCGACGGACAGCCGACGACGTTGTCGTCGTCGGCGCACGTCGACATCTGCGCGCGCTACGTGCACGGCCAGCCGGCGACCGGTGAGTTTACGGTGCACTGCGACGCCGTCGGCCTTCACACCGTGTCGTCGACGCTTGCGCGCAGCCACACGACGACGGGCTGCTTCCGCTACGAGATCGACGTCGGCGAGCTGTCGGCGCAGTTCCGCTACGCGTACGGCTCGCGCGCCATCGACGTGAAGGCGACGTTCACGGAAGCGAGCGGCAACTACGCGACGCTGTCGCGCTCGCGGCGCGTGCCCGTCGGTCGGCAGCCGGTCGTGCTCAGCCTCGATGCGTCGCCGCAGCTCTTCAAGCCCGGCATGGCGTACGTCGGCCGCGTCGACGTGGCGACGCCCGCCGGCCGACCCGTCGCCGACGAGCTGGTCGAGATCTACATCGACAGCTGGGACGCCGAGCGCGTCATCTACCGGCACAATTTCGTGACGGACGCCGACGGACGTGCGACGTTCAAGCTTCCGCCCGTCAACGCCAACGTGCGCAGCCTCGTCGTACAGGCGCGCGCGCCGAAATACGAGCAGCTGGCCGCGGCGGCGACGACAGCCGACGACGACTATGATGACGATGGTGGCTTCAGCTTCCTGCAACAGTCGGACGTGCGCAAGAGCATCACACTGAAGCCGTGGTTCTCTCCGAGCGGCAGCTTCTTGCAGGTCGCCGAGCCAACGTCGCCCGTAGAATGCTTCCGTGCGCACACGTTCGACGTCAGCTACACGACGTCGGCAAACAGCAGCGTGACAGTGTTCTACCAGGTCGTCGCTCACGGCGACGTCATCGAGGCCGGACAGCTGGAGCAGCGCTTTGACGACG